CGGTGGACGGCCTGGAGCAGGTAGGCCCCGCGGCGGGACGCGGTTCTGCGTGGTTCTGCTGAGCGCCGCTGACGGCTCGGCCCGCTGTGTTCCAGGGTTACGTGGTTTGTCCGTCAGAGAAACGCTTCCTGCTGCTCTTCACCTTCCTGAAGAAGAACCGCAAGAAGAAGCTGATGGTCTTCTTCTCGTCCTGCATGTCGGTCAAGTTCCACTACGAGCTGCTGAACTACATCGACCTGCCCGTCATGGCCATCCATGTGAGTGCAGCCCGCCACGCCGCCGCGGCGCCGGCCCTCCGCTCCGGTTCTGACCCGTCTGCTTCTCCTCGCAGGGCAAACAGAAGCAGACCAAACGGACCACCACCTTCTTCCAGTTCTGCAACGCCGACTCCGGCATCCTGCTGTGCACGGACGTGGCGGCCCGCGGCCTCGACATTCCCGAGGTGGACTGGATCGTCCAGTACGACCCGCCGGACGACCCGAAGGTCAGAGCCGCCATCAGAACCAAGAACCCAGACCCCGTCGGTTCTGGGAGGTTGACGTTGTCCCGTCTGTCCTCAGGAGTACATCCACCGGGTCGGCAGAACCGCCCGAGGCGTCGACGGCAGAGGCCACGCCCTCCTCATCCTGCGACCCGAAGAGCTGGGCTTCCTGCGCTTCCTGAAGCAGGCCAAGGTGACGCCTCGGTCCGACTCGGCCCGCTGGGCCCGCTCTGCTGCCGGTTCTGCTGGGCCCGCTCTGCTGCCGGGTCCGCCCGCTTCACCTCTCCTTCTGTCTGCTTTAGGTCCCGCTGAGCGAGTTCGAGTTCTCCTGGAGTAAGATCTCCGACATCCAGTCCCAGGTGAGTCCAGAACCGGTTCTGGTCCCCCAGAGGTTCTGCTGGGCTCGGTTTGGGTCCAGTTTTTATTTTGGTGTCTCAGATGGACGCTCCGTCCTCCTTCCAGCGCCCCCCGGTGTCCGTCTGGATCAGCTCCGTTCTTTCTCATAGATCTGAAGTAGATCCGTTCCTTCATGCATCTAGATCATAGATCTGCAGCTTTAAACGGTCCCAGATGTTCGGTTCTGAAGGTTCCTGCAGCTCCTTTGGTTCCGCCCCTGAACTCTTTAGAAAACGTTGTTTAAAGGCCGTTTATTGAAGGTTTATTGTCATTTTAACGTCAGTTTTTTTACTGGTAAATCTCCATGAATGTAATCTGATTACTTCCTCAGCTGGAGAAACTGATCGAGAAGAATTACTACCTCCACAAGTCGGCGCAGGAGGCCTACAAGTCGTACGTGAGGGCGTACGACTCCCACTCTCTGAAGCAGATCTACAGCATCAACACCCTGAACCTCCCCATGGTGGCGCTGTCCTTCGGCTTCAAGGTCCCCCCCTACGTGGACCTGAGTATCCTTTATGCTGCAGATGCTCCAGAGCCGATGGACCCGGGTCCACGCTGGTCTTTAACCTCCATTTAAACGAAGACGGGCGGCGTCCAGACGGCAGGAAGGCAGATCTAGACCAGTTAGATTCAGGAAAAACGGCTTCAAACCAACGACTAGCAGAGAAACATCACATTCCAACGTCTTAAAGGCATTAAATTATCTTTAAAATTGAGGATTTAAATTTGATTGCATGCCACTGGTGATGGGGATGCCATACAGATTCATGTCAAAAATACCGAACTATCCCTTTAATTGGCTTTACATTTCATTAAATTGATTATTGTGGCATCTAAAATGCTTTAATTAAAAAAGGGTTTATATAAACAATTTCGGCAGATATATCAGATATAACTAGAAAAAAGCTAGAGAAATGGAAATTTCAACAAAAGTGGCCGACTGGGGTTCAAGGAGACAGAAGCAGACATAGAAAAAGAAACATAGATACAAAAGGCAACTGAGAAAAAGCAGAGAGAGCAGAAGGTTAGAGATTGAACTAACAGATTCTGCAGAGTGGGAGAATAGAGATAGAATGATGAAAAAGGGGTCCCTATGTCCTCCAGCAGTCTAAGCCTATAGCAGCAGAACTATAGAGATAGCTCAGGATAACCTGAGCCACTCTAACTAGAAGCTTTATCAAAAAGGAAAGTTTTAAGCCTAGCCTTAAAAGTAGACAGGGTGTCTGCCTCACGGACTAAAACTGGTAGTTGGTTCCACAGGAGAGGAGAGGATGGTTTATTAATCTGTAATATCCCTTCCATCCACTAAAGGGTGCTGTTCTTCTTGAATTGGTTACTTAGTCTGCTGGAGCAGAACCATGAATGGATCCAGAGTTGGGTCTGGATTAATGGATCCAGATCAAACTTTCTGTGGTTCTGTTGGTGAATAAAGTCCTTTAGTCCTAATTGGGTCCATTTAGCGGCGCTGATGGAGGAGCAGCTAAAGGGGATGATAGAAACGTGGAGGACAATACGCTAACGATTGGATAAAAGAAGACATGCTAGCAGTTAGCGTGGTGGATTAATCAGGTCATGATCTTCATAGAGCAGAGTTCTAACGTTCCTCTGAGAAGAACCAGAAGCTGCTAACAGTTAGCTCCCAGTTAGCATCAGCTTCATAAGGTAAACAGTCTGACAGAATGTTAGAGCGACATAGCCCATCTGTTAATCATAGATCTATGTTCATTGGTAAATCATTTCTATATTCTGACCTAATTGGTTCCTTATTAGTTTAATTAAAAGTCTAAAAATGTCTGGAAACATTTTTCCTGTTGGAACCATCAGGAAGCAGAGACGTGTTTTCATCTCTGAGCTTTAAAACCAGAACCAAGTTATCAGCAGGTTGAAGTTACTCAGATCTTCTCTGGTTTCCACCTCCGTCCTGGAGATGGACGCCAGCAGAAACCGGTCCTCTGACCATCAGCTGCAGACTCCGCCCCCGTAGGGAACCTTCTCCTTAACCCCGCCTCCAGATGTTCACAGCAGCAAAGGAGTGAAGCTGCAGAAACGAGGCGGCGGTGGCTTCGGATACCAGAAGAACAAGAACGTGAAGAAATCCAGAATCTTCAAGCATGTCAGCAAAGGGCCGAGTGACAGGAGGCAGTTCTCCCGCTGACCTCCTCTTCCTCCTCCTCCTCCTCTTCCTCCTCCTGTAAATGTCCCCCCATCGCCCCCCTGATGTAATAAACCACATAAAGATGGCAGCAGGCGTTTGTTTCTGGACTTATTGGACCTCAGAGGCAGTTTGCTGCAGCGTCTCCTGGTTCTGCAGGACGTTTTCCCCTCAGACCATCTAAAGAAGCTCCTTCCAACTGGTTAGACTGGAAGGAAGCTGGAAATGGAAACAGTTTTTTATCGGAAGATATTTGATTAAATACTGAAGAAAAACATCCAGGTTGTTTCAGTCATTTCATTCATTCATAGATTCATTTATTCATTCGTTCATTTATTCATTCGTTCATCCTTCTGTGCTTTAAGCTTCTAACTGGTTTGATTTCTTTATTTTTTCTCACATCAATGTTTAAATTCAGCTTATTTTAAGTCGTCTCTACAGAAGATTAAAGGTTATTTCTGAATAAAGAGGTCTGGGCTGGATGGTACCGGCTGGTTCTGGAGGGTCGGACGGTCTGCAGATGATCAGGACGGTTTCAGGTTGGAGGTGGACCAGAACCGGGTTCCTGTAGGCCAGGTACCGAGCACTGAGAACCAAACCGTCAGAACGCTGGAGGTTCTGCCAGGTAGGAGGCGAAGGAGGTCCAGTTAGCTTCAGAAACATGATCAAGGATGAGACTTTAGAACCTGGGTGAAGCTTGAAGATCCATGAAAGAACGAGGAGGAACCATCAGGGTCAGAACCCAGCGGGGACTTTAGTCCTAGAACTAGTTAGACTGTAGAGAACCAGTTACCCCCAGGTTCCACCCACTCCATCAGCGCTCCGCTCGCACACGGAGAGCTTCTCTGTGGTGTAAATCGGTGAGAGCTGTTCCACATCCTCCGCACCGTGAAACATGGAGCAGAGTTAGTTATTGCTCTGCTCCGGCCGGGTCAAGATCCGCTTTTCCAATCACCAAACAGGAGAAACAGAGAAGATCCAGTTTGTTAAATTAAAATATAGCAACAACAGATCGGTAATAACTTGGAGCATAATTCTTAAATATTCCATAAAACAAACACTGTTTATTAAAAAGATTGGATGCAAACTATTGGTTCTTCAACAGATCAGGAAGCAGATTTCTTCAAAATATTGATTTCATACCAAGAGGCTTAAAAGTTTAATCAAATCCAGTCCAAAACTTCTTATCCAGGAATGGATGCAGAGACGCTGAGTTTGGAAGCAGAGAACAAAGTTCATAAAAAGGCAGCTCTGATGATCCCATTTATCACTGGAACAAAATCTACAACAAACAGAAAATATTTGGGCAGAAACTGAACATCTGGATGCTGGTGGGATTATTTTAATCTAAGCGTTTATTACAGGATCTTTTGCTTCTATGAATCTAATATGGCGCGCGCTCTCCTGGAGCTCCGAGGACGAGTCGGAGTTTCATCTGCTGCCGTTCTCCTTGGTCTGTTGGGAAAGTAGGCAGAAGTTCACAACTGGATCTCCCCTAACATGTAGACCTGATTCTGGTTCCAGGGGGTCCGAAAGGTTCAAGAAGTGCAAAACTAATAGATGTCCAGCAGAGGGCGCTGTCTCAGGGGGAAACTTTAAGCTCTCTCTGTTCTTAGATGTTTTAAACTGTAATCGGATCCAGATCAGGTCCAAGTCTGAAGCAACTGAACCAGCCTGTCCCCTCAGATGAACCCTGATCCTGGACCAGGACCTGAAGCTGCTGTAAACCGCTCTGAGACCAGTTCACCCTGGACTGGACTGGGTGGTTCTGATGGACCTGCAGCCTGAACCCTCCCTGCTGGTTCACACGGGTCCGTTTCAACAAGCAGGTGTTCTGAAAACCCGTTTCTGTTGCCATAGTAACATTCAGTAAACTTCCTCTGCTCTCCTTACAGCATTGTTTCCCTGATTGGTCACATTGTTGTTGTAGTTTTCTACATACAATAAAAAAAATAATTCACAAGGATCTTATTAAAGAATGATTGGCTTTAATTCACAGAATTAAATATTTATAGAGAGATGATTCTACAACTCAGTGACAGGATAGGAGATTAGCTCTTTTTGGTGTCTTTATTATGTACTAGTAATTTTCGGCTGACGAATAACCTGCATAAGATCACAAAAAATAAAAAACCACTGATTTTAAAATTTATTTTTAAAATAGAAATTTTGGGACAATATGGTCTGATAAAGAGAATATTTATATACATGTTTAAGCCAGAATGATTTGACTTTTAAATATGATTTCAGGAAACTTTCCCTTTAAGAAAATCATCTGATTAAATTCCAGCCTCTTTGATCTGCACGGCAGGAACCAGAAGGAACGTCTTTTCTTCACGCAGTCCTTCTTCTCAGCCGCCTTTCTTTGGTCCACCATCATTTTAGTTCCTGCTGCTGATCTGAAAGGTAGAGAAGATGTTCAAAGACCCGGTTCTCTGTGATTAGAGGCCAGAGAAGCCCTGAACTCGGTCCAGCTGGTGTTCTGCCGTAGAACATGCCGGCGTTCTGCCGTAGATCATCCCGGCGTTCTGCCGTAGAACATGTTGGCGTTCTGCCATAGAACATGCCGGCGTTCTGCCGTAGAACATCCCGACTGGTGTTCTGCCGTAGAACATGCCGGCGTTCTGCCATAGAACATGCCGGCGTTCTGCCGTAGAACATCCCGACTGGTGTTCTACCGTAGAACATGCCGGTTTTCTGCCGTAGAACATGCCAGCGTTCTGCCGTAGAACATGCCGGCATTCTGCCATAGAACATGCCGGCGTTCTGCCGTAGAACATCCCGACTGGTGTTCTACCGTAGAACATGCCGGTTTTCTGCCGTAGAACATGCCAGCGTTCTGCCGTAGAACATGCCGGCGTTCTGCCGTAGAACATGCCGGCGTTCTGCCGTAGAACATCCCGACTAGTGTTCTGCCGTAGAACATGCTGGCGTTCTGCCGTAGAACATGCCGGCGTTCTGCCGTAGAACATGCCGGAGTTCTGCCGTAGCACATGTTGGTGTTCTGCCATAGAACATGCCGGCGTTCTGCCGTAGAACATGTTGGCGTTCTGCCGTAGAACATGCCGGAGTTCTGCCGTAGCACATGTTGGTGTTCTGCCATAGAACATGCCGGCGTTCTGCCGTAGAACATGTTGGCGTTCTGCCGTAGAACATGTTGGTGTTCTGCCATAGAACAGGAAACAGATCAAAGCATCCCTACAGAAACATGCAGAACTAAAGAGGGCGAAGGTCAAGTTAGGGTGGATCAGTGCAGCTTTGAAAACACTGGATCAGAACGTTCTGTAGCAGAACCGGACTGGTTTTGGAAAACTACAGTGAGAAACGTCTGGATTCTGTTAGTAAAGCTTTCAAACAATGTTCTCATGCAGCATCGGGTCGGTTAGGGTCAGAACCTCTGACCACATGCAGCATATCTACGGTCGGACCTTAGGGGTCCACTCTGATGGGGACCGGGGTGGGAGGGACCCAGCGGCGGGGTCCGTTCCTCTTCCCTGGACCTGTTTTCAGCCAATAGGAGAGAGTATCCAACATGGACCCCAGTGAGACTCCTGCTCTGGTTCCTGTGGAAATGTCAAACATGGCAGCTGCCTACCAGTACTGGTACTGCTGGTCTCTGTGGTCTCCCAGTTCATGGCCTTCTGGACGGCCTTCTTCCAGCGAGCGAAGCGGAACTCGCTCTCTAGGACAAAAAGAGAAGCAGATGGATTCTCTCATTGATCATCCCAGAAACGGCCACTAGATGGCAGCAAGCAGCTAACTGCTCCAAAGAGCTGCATGTTTGGGTAAAATGCTTTGGTTAGGCTGAGCTGGAAGGAGTCATGGTTCTAGTGACGGTTCTCTACCGTTCCTGCTTTCTTACCTTCTATGTTGATCTGAGGTTCGAACTTCTCCGATGTGACTTTTGGAAGATGAGCTGGACTCAGATTCCAGACGTCCACCCCCTGAGCGGCTCCGGCTGCCATGGCTGCTCCCAGAGCGGTGGTCTCTGACATGGCGGGCCGCACTGAAACAGGAACCACACCAGGATCAGACCTGAACCAGATCAAAAACCGGACTCACGTTCTAACCAGGTTCTATTGGATCTGAAGCAGCGGATGGGTCAAAGGTCACAGATAATGGTGTTCATCTCTATACTCATTCAGTAGAACCGTCCTGTCCTGTATTTCTGGAACCATTATTTAATCTGCACTGCTGCTATTGAACTTCTGGTTAGACCTAAACTGCATTTCATTGCCTTGTACCTGTACCTGTGTAAGGACAATATAGTTGAATCTAATCTAATCTAATAACAAAAAAGTATCCAGATTTTGTTTTTTAACAGCTTCAGATGGAGCAGTGTGGTTTCTGTCCCGGCCAGGGAACCGAGGAGCAGCTCTACACTCTGCAGGGGGCCTCAGGGTCCCTACTGTACGGAGTCAGGGTCCTTTACTAGGGGCCTTCCGGGGGTCTCTGTATAAAGGGAGCAGGTGTCTGGTCTTATTGCCCCCCCTTACCGACAGGAATGCCGAGGATGTCAGCCTGCAGCTGCATCAGTAACCTGTTGGCCGTCATGCCTCCATCCACGCCCAGCACCGACAGGGGGATGCAGCTATCTTGGTTCATCGCATCGAGGATCTGCAAACATCACAGGAATCGTCATCAGATCAGTTTCGCCTGCAGAGATAAAGACCGTTTACCGATGCCCACCTCTCTGGTCTGGAAGCAGACGGCCTCCAGCGCAGCGAAGGCCAGGTGATTCCTGTTGGTGAACTGTGTGAGGCCGCAGATGATGCTGAGGAAAACAGGAAGTTCATTCAGTTAGGACACATCATTGTGACTGTTGCATAGCAGCGAATAGGGGAGCTGTGTTGGGGAGTCTCACCCTCTGGCACTGGGCTCCCAGTACGGCGCATAAAGGCCGGAGAAAGCTGGAACGAAGTAGCAGCCGTAGGACGTTCCTGCCTTAGCTGCTAACTGCTCTGAAACAGCAGGACCATGTTTGAACACCAATATCTCCATCACTGGGTTTCCGTTCCAGGACTGGGCTTCATGGAAGGGGTGAGGTTAGGGGGGGAGGACTTACCGATCTCTGAGGAGGACTGCACGATGCCCATGTTGTCCTTCAGCCAGCGAACCACTGCCCCTGCTATGGCGACGGATCCCTGCAGAGGAAGATCAGACCCTGATTAGTGCTGGCCCTGAAGACGAACGTCACTGCCTTTCAGTTGGTACCAGAACTATCTGGGTCGGGTCGATTCTACGGTTTATTGGTTTCCCATTACGGTTGAAACCATTTTAAAAGAGTCATAGAATGCAGAGTTTCCATTGTCATAGTTGAATAACGATAGTTCAGTGGGTGAAATGGACGTAAAGAGGAGTTCAACCCCATCAACTCCTCCTTTCTCTGCAAATCTCACTATTCTAACCTTCCACCATAAAACGGGTGAATCCAAACGAAGCTCCGAGTTGAAGTAAACTCAGGATGTTGCCTTATTTGGTTCTGGACTTTTGTCACGCCCGACATTAACATCCAGACCAGCTCACTGGTTCACGGCCCAGGAACATGAATAGAGGAAGATGGAAGACAGCAGTTCAGCTGTTCAGCCTACAGTTGGGTTTACTGCTACAAGAATTACAAAGCAGGAAGTTTCTCTATTGAAGATGAGCCACGGGAGGAAATGCAGCGTTCCAGGCTGACCGGAGGAATGGGAACATTTTCACTGTCTTCCCAAGGATTTGAAGACTCGACAGGCATGGATTATTTTTGTCTGTCAGAAGATCCCTGCAACGTTTGATGCTCAGCTGTTCATTTGCTCGAGGCATTTTACCAAAGACAGCTTTCAAAATGTTGGACAGTTCAAAGCAGAGTTTGCTAAACTTCTTTTACTGAAACGAGGGGCTGTTCCCAGCGTAAGGCCATCACAACCACAGGCTGGAAGGATGGTTCTGTCACTAAGCTGTTGATAGCAATGGGGGGGATTAAGTGTGGACTGGTGGGCTGCTGCCTGGACCAGCAGAGAACCATGAGCCGTCTGCCCTCAGCCGGAGGAGGGGGACTGGGGGCAGCACGGCGCCGAAGTGTCCAGGCTACTGACACCGTGTTGGGTTCCGTCCCCTGCTGGCTCCCGGACCAGTCCAGGTTCTGCTGCACTGTAGTCGACCAAAATCCCAGATGATTTTGAAATTCCCCCCGGACATTTATTTACGTCTGAAAAGTAGGACATGTCTGGGAAAAAGAGAACGTCTGGTTCCCCTACCATCAACAATCTGATGTTTCAGTGAGTGAGTGCTTGTTGCTATGATGCGTCTTTGCTCAGCAGCTTGGCTCGTTTTAACCAACCAATCAGAGCACAGCTCATCTAAATATTCATGATCAAACCATAAAAGGAAGGAAATCGTCATCTATAGACCGTCTCTCCATATAAAGGCTACTGCTCAGGCTGTAGACGTTCGTTGGGTTTATAGGTCACCGTTCCACCAACAGGCCGCTACGTTTATAGCCCTGCGCTTTGTCTAAAGGCCGCTGCTGTGGCTATAGGCTGTCGCTGCGTCTTTAGGCACTACTTGGTCTATAAACCAGGGCTTTGGACACACTGCTCGGCGTTCAGCCATCCAGATAGAACGTTCTGCTGTTCTTCTGTCTCTGGTGATAATGTTCAGACCAAATGAGTAGAAAACAGACCTCTAGTGCATAACAGGCAGCTTTGTCCTTCCCCAGTTTGTAGGCCACCGTGGTGAGCAGGCCGTGGTCGGATATCACTGGCTGACAGGATCACAGCGGGAGACAGAAAACGGGTTAAAATCCCAGGAAAGATGTCTACCCTCTGCCTCTGAAGATCTTTGAACACCTTACCTTTGTTCCTGTGTTCAAGAGCAGGAAGCATCCAGTCCCGTACCTTTACACAAGAACTGATTAACAGCAAATATAAAGAAAGGTCTGCTTACAAACATGGCGGTTTGGAGTCACGGCTCACGTGTTTTTGGCCTGTCCCTCCTGGAAGCACATCTGACCAACCAGAGCGGCCGACTGGTCTCCCAGACACTGGCGGAGAAAGGACACCGTCACTTACTTCCTGCTTTCTACAGCATGCAGGAAATGTCAGATTGGAAGAAGCGTTCGACCATTTGACCGAACTCCTGACGAGTCTACGTGATGATGAAGATCCCTTACCCCAGAGATCGGAACTCCTGCGAGCGAGCCGGATTTCTGTAGAAACAGGAAACGGTTCAGTTCTGCGCAGCTTCAGGTTTAAATATCAAGCTAAAGTCTTCAGTCATCTTTCCACATATCCAAACACTGTTTGGACTTCGGTGGCTTTTCTCCCTCATGTTCAGTCTGGTTCTCCTCGCTGATTAATATTTAGTCTTTTAGAGATAAAAGCAAATCCTGGCTTATTGAATAACTAGTAAACATTAGATCCTTAAGCTGCTGCAATCATCACTAAACCAGGTTGGTTTTCTGTAAAGCCAAACCTGCAGCACGTTGCATGTTTAGATTATATCTTTAAAAAACAAGTGAGCTTTATTACAGGGTTAAAGTGAAATGATAAATCTGTTATTGGGTCAGTTTTCCAGAGAATATCGATAACACCAGATAAAGTTGTTCTGTGGAAATAATCTGTTACCAAAACTTTATGGTTGATTTTTTTTTTAAACAGGCCCAGTTCTGAAGAAACCCATAAAAATGTTCTGAACCAAATCAATCCTGCAGGCCGCTGACCTCTGGACTCCAGCGGAAAGATAAGATACGCTGCAAAACAACAGATCATCTCAGTGGTTCTGAGCAAAGTCCTCCTAAACATCCGGGTTTGTGGAGGCAGGAAGCCGGTTCCGTTTCCGAGGCGATCTGAGCCAAAATAAAAGGATTTAAAACTGTCAATAAAACCTGACTAGAAGCACGGCTGTAAAAATCTGCTTCAGTCGGCTAAAAGCCCAACAGGTAATGAAAGGTCGTCATGGCAACCCAGACTCTGAAAAGAAGTTTACTTTCATTGTGAAGAATTTCCTGCAGGTCTTCCTCTGCTATGATGTCATCATTTAATTCGGCCAGGTTCTGCTCAGGTGGTTTCCCTCCACATAAAACTCATCGTTACAGAGCAGGAAGTTGGACCCTAAAGGCGCCGCCATGACGGCTAACAGAACCGTCTGACAGGACAGAACGCGTCTGTGATGGTTACCTATCCAGATATCAGGAAACCCCCCCCCCACCCCCACAGCAGGTGTGTGTGGATCAGAAAGTATGGGCATCTCTGCTTAGACCGCGCATGAATCCAACCTCTGAATGGTTGAACAGTTGTAGAACCACATGAAACGGGTCAGAACCGTCAGGTCCAGCTTTATTCCAGGTTAACTGTTCAGTGGAAACTTCAGTTTCTGCCTTTAAGGAATCATTTTTAAAGATGTTTTCATTTTACAGATTCTCTATGATTGGTGAAAATGGGAACAGCAAGGCAGGAAGTTCTCACCATGTGGCCATAGATCTCAGAGGAGCTTCTGACTAGGGGCAGGATCTCCATCGGGATGTCAAAGAAACTGGAAGAGAAGAAATCAATCATGGAAGCCACAACGAACCAGCAAACTGAACCTGGAGCTTTAAAAAACTGAAGATCTGAGAACCAGTCAGGCCTGCTGCCTTCAGAGAAGAACCTTCAGTCTGAAGAGGACCTGAAGGTCAGAGTTCACCAGAGACCAGAGCCAGAATGAAGCCAAAGCTGAGGCACCAGTGGTTCCGTGTGTCTTCTGGGAAAATGTCCCACAGCCTGCAATCCTTCTTTGACCTTCAAAGCTCCAAACATTCCTGGGAAACGCTGCTGAGCTTCGCATCGTAGACCAAACTCTAGATATGGAGCTGAAGGACAGACAGCTTCTGGAGAGGAAGCTTTACCTGCAGAGGTCCGGATCCCAGTCCATGGTGTGGATGTTGAAGAGCATGGTCCGGCTGGCGTTGGAAACGTCTGTGATGTGGACGCCTCCGTCTCTGCCTCCGGTCAGACACTGAGAGGGAGAAACGGTGAGAGAAGAGAAGAGGCTGCGGCGTGACGCAGCGTTCCTACGGTTCCTACCCAGATGATCCATGAGTCCACCGTCCCAAACATGGCGCGTTTACTCAGCACCGCCTCACCAATCTCCGCCACGTTGTCCAGCAGCCAGCGCAGCTTGACGGCGCTGAAGTAGGTACTGATGGGAAGTCCGGTTTTATCCTGCGTCCAGGAGAAATAACGGCAGTTTAAGCTGAAGATGTTCTGAGCTTTAAATGTCCAGAGATGTTCTACTGCTGCTCCTCAGCAGCTCCTACCTTCAGGTGGTTCTTGCTCCTGCTTGAAGTTTTTCTGATGAGTTTCTCTACTGTGGACTGAGTCCTCAGGTCCAACCAGACTGCAGGACGGATAAAGAAAAGACCAACATTAGAACATAGAGAGAACATCTCAGCCTGACGGCTCCTACAGGAGGAGGAGGTTCCCCTCACTGTCATTAGCAGGGAGCCTCCATGTTGACCAGAGAGGAGAAGAAGAAGAAGAACAGAGTGAAGGACAGCAGGACATGAAGTTATGCTGAAACCATCCTTCTTCCATTCATCATCCATTCATCATTCATCATCCATCCATCCATCCATCTCCTTGGTGCTGGACTCACCAATGGCGTTGTAGAGCGGTTCTCCCGTCTCTTTGTCCCAAACCAGGGTGGTCTCTCTCTGATTGGTCACTCCCACAGCTGCAGACCAATCACAGAGGAAACATCGATCAAACTTCCAGGGATAAAAACCTGGAGACGGAACATTGTGTCCCACCTTTGATGTTGGACAGGTCCACGTTGAGCTGCCTCAGTTTCTGGCACGTCTTCTCCACGCATTCATGGACAGACTGCAGGATCTCCATGGGGTCTGCCTCCACCCATCTGACCAGAAAAAAATGTTAAGATGTCTGAAAGGTCGGAGACAGGCCAGAGCTTATCGGGAGACGGAGACCAACAAGACCTCCCTCATCCTTGGCCCTATCTCAGAGAATTTATAGAAATAGTCCAAAAATTCATATACAGTAGTGGCATCTGGCGTTTTTTTTTTAAAGGTTACTTTATACTTTTATACTTTAAGTAGTTTTTTGAGCACATTCTTTTTCACTTTTACTTGAGTAAAGAGGTCAAGTTGATACTTTAACTTTTACCAGAGTGTTTTTAAACTGCAGCATCTATACTTCTACTGAAGTAACAAATGTGTGAACTCTTGACACCGGTGCGTTTGGTGATTGCCTTCTTCTTTGCAATCTTCAGTAAATATGTGTCACTTGAACTAACTCCTTCAGGAAGTTTTCCAAGGTACAAGGAGGTAAAGGAAAGTCTAACACTGTGTCCAGGGTTTCTGTTTAACATTGTTCCAAAAGACCTTCAATTAAGCACAGGACCAGTAAATTAGCATATAATCAGCAGAAACCAGCCCCCACCCTCTCCAGCAGGGCACCTGTGCGTCACTTAACCCTGATTTCTGCTTTGGTGTAATAAAAAAACCTGATAAGGTTCTTCCAGCCAAAATCCTGTAGAATTAGTAGTTGTAAAGTTTTTTTTTTTTCCACAGTTGAGACCAAAGATCCTCTGAGATGAAATGTTGGCTTCCCTTTCTCACCGCTGTCTGATATGATCTGTTAATCTCTTATTCACAGTTGGGAAATTGTCGATAAAGCTCACCACAATTCTTTGGAAAATTTACCTGTTTGCTTCCCTCATCCAACTTTTAAGGCAAAACCTTTTCAGAGAGTAACTTTGTATCGTCCATCAGTAATTACTCTCACTTCTCAGAGTTCCTATCTGATATGGCAAGATCTTTATAGTAGGAGGTTACAGCACTCATGCCACTTTCAGGGTGATAGCTTAAAGTCAGACAATGTAGCCCCATTGAAAAGGTGAGTTGCCAAACTCACCCAGAGCCATAGCTCTGTTGAACCATCCATTCCACCTGCTCTTAGCAGGAATGATTTTATGGGATTCTTTAAAAATAGGATTCATCTTATTAAAAATAAGATCATTAGCACTCCTCTATCCATGATTGGTTTGTCTCTGGAGGGGGGGGCAGCATCTGAGGTAGTCATGGAATCTGAACCGGGTTTAGACTGCTTTGATCCAGTTGAACTTTCAGAGTTAGCTAAACTATTGTCTTCATCTAAGCCTTCAACTTGGATGTTAGATCCAGTTCCAACCAGGTTATTTAAGGAGGTATTCCCTTTGATCTCCTCCTCCATTCTAGATGTGATTAATCTATCTCTGTTACAGGGATATGTACCTAAAGCTTTTAAGGTTGCTGTAATTAAACCTCTGCTTAAGAAACCGTCTCTTGACCCAGATGACTTGGTCAATTATAGACCTATATCCAATCTTCCTTTCTGATCTAAAATTCTTGAGAAAGTAGTTGCCAAACAAGTGTGCGATCACTTCCACCATAATGAACTTTTTGAAGAGTTTCAGTCTGGCTTTAGAGCTCATCATAGCACTGAAACAGCTCTGGTGAAAGTCACTAATGATATTCTCATGGCCTCAGATAATGGACTTGTATCTGTGCTCGTCCTGTTGGATCTCAGTGCTGCATTTGATCCAGTTGATCAGAATATTCTTTTAGAAAGACTTGAACAAGCACCTTTATCTTTACACACCTTAAGCTTTATGCACCGTTAGCTTTATACACTTTTAGCTTTATATGCCTTTAGCTTTATAAACCATTAGCTTTATACACTGTTAGCTTTATACACCGTTAGCTTTATATGCCTTTAACTTCATACACCGTTAGCTTTATACATTGTTAGCTTTATACGCCGTTAGCTTTATACGCCGTTAGCTTTATACACTGTTAGCTTTATACGCCATTAGCTTTATGCACCGTTAGCTTTATACACTTTTAGCTTTATATGCCTTTAACTTTATACACCGTTAGCTTTATACACCTTTAGCTTTATAAACCATTAGCTTTATACACCGTTAGCTTTATACACCGTTAGCTTTATACACTGTTAGCTTTATACGCCGTTAGCTTTATACGCCGTTAGCTTTACACACCTTTAGCTTTACACACCTTTAGCTTTACGCACCTTTAGCTTTATTAACCGTTAGCTTTATACGCCGTTAGCTTTATACACCTTTAGCTTTATACACCGTTAGCTTTACACACCGTTAGCTTTATGCACCGTTAGCTTTATACACCTTTAGCTTTATACACCTTTAGCTTTACACACCGTTAGCTTTATACACTGTTAGCTTTATACGCCGTTAGCTTTATACACCGTTATCTTTACACACCTTTAGCTTTATGCACCTTTAGCTTTATAAACCGTTAGCTTTATACACCTTTAGCTTTATACACCTTTAGCTTTACACACCGTTAGCTTTATACACCGTTAGCTTTATACACCATTAGCTTTATACACCTTTAGCTTTATACACCTTTAGCTTTATACACCTTTAGCTTTACACACCGTTAGCTTTATACACCGTTAGCTTTACACACCGTTAGCTTTATACGCCTTTAGCTTTATACACCGTTAGCTTTATACACCTATAGCTTTACGCACTGTTAGCTTTATACACCATTAGCTTTATACACCTTTAGCTTTATACACCTTTAGCTTTACACACCGTTAGCTTTATACACCGTTAGCTTTACACACCGTTAGCTTTATACGCCTTTAGCTTTATACACCGTTAGCTTTATACACCTATAGCTTTACGCACCTTTAGCTTTATACACCGTTAGCTTTAGGCACCTTTAGCTTTACACACTGTTAGCTTTACACACCTTTAGCTTTAAATACCTTTAGCTTTATGCACCTTTAGCTTTACACACCGTTAGTGTTATACACCGTTAGCTTTATACACTGTTAGCTTTATACACCGTTAGCTTTATACACCATTAGCTTTATAAACCAATCTGGGGCATCTCCTAGGTTTTCAAAAAGACTTTCATGATGCTTTTTACTGTTCATTTTAATAGACAAAACTTAAGATGAGGCTAATAAAGTTGGATATTTTCTCTAAACTCAAATCAGTAACAGTGGTGACATTGGTTTCACTGGAGGAAAAAAATCTCTTATCTCTCACCTTTACACTGGAACCAACAGGTTGCATGTAGGCCTGATAATTCTGGAGTTATTTTTGATTTATTACAGTTGGAAGCTGCTTCTGAAACAATTTGAGCTTAACGGGTTCAGAAAGCCTCTGATATGGAAATCCTCCTGCTGAACTCCATCCAGCTTCTCTCCCCGTCGCTCTAAAATATTATTACTCATATTTATTTAAAAGGGAACAGAATGCTCCAGTGGATGAAGTCAAGCCTTCCGGCCTAGAAAGTCCTGTAGGTGTCCCTCAAGGCTCAGTTCTTTGGCTCGTTTCATTTCCTTTATTCAATGCTAAACACCTCAATGAATGTCAGTGTAGATATAAAACAAAAGACACATTTTTGAGTAAAGTGAGGAGCTAGAACAGATTTACTGTCTGTTCCAGATTAAGTCATGTCATTTTTTATGTTTATTAGAGTTTTAGACTTTTTGAGAAACACTTTAGACCTCAGAAGCAAAGTTAAATTTAGTTCCTGCTGACTGGTTTCTGCATCTTTCTGACTGGTTTCTGCATCTTTATAAACCTCCAGATGTGTGATTCATAGAAACTAATGGGATGTAAAGTGTCTCACCCTTCCTTTGGGAAGTGCTGCTTGAGCTCCACTTGGTGGTAACTGATCACCTGAGCTGTTTCTGTGTTGAAAACCTGCAAAAAAGAAAAAAAAAGTCACAGATTATAGAGCAGCAGAACGAAGCTGGACTAAGAGGAGAGGAGGGAGCTGTCCAAGCTTCCATCCATCATGGACGCCACCTTCTACCCTCTGCAGCAGACTGGAGAGGAGCTGAGCTCCTTGAGTCAGAGACTTTTACAGACTGTTTGGAAACAGGAGCGCTACTGCAGGTCATTCATCCTGCTGCAACCAGACTCTACAATGAGACACTAGAACTGCTGCAATAGAGAATAATTACTATTTAATAGCCTGTGCAATACCTATATATATAAATATCCATCTATATAACTCCCCATGTAAACACCCTGTGCAATAACCCTCTATAATGATCCTACTATTTAAAATAAGCTAATGTGGAAGCATTGTATATCCTGTATCCCATCATGCTCCTTATCCTTCATTTGGCTCCTTCTTCTTCTTCTTCTTTGACTATTCGAACTGATGGAACGAGTAAATGTCTCCAATGTGAGATCAATAATCCTTCAGTTGAAGGTCTAACAGGTGAGATTCTTCACCTGTTCCTCCTGTTCTTTTCTATAATCAGTATATTTTTCCTTCATTAGTTTGCAAGCAGAAGATCAGAAACATACAGTAGATGTCAGACGTAAGAAAAGAAAAATCTAAACTTTTGTAATAAAGTCTTTAGGCTGCTCCCTTTGATCGTGGTGCAGCGAATCATCCGCTTCATAGATCTCAGCATCATCTGCGAACATCAGCAGCTGCAGTGACTCCTGCTTGAAACATCTGTCAGACCAAGTCATCGCTCCTCCCCGCTGCTCCTCACCGCTGCTCCTCCCTGCTGCTCCTCCCTCACATTCTCCTGCTCCATCATCTATTTAAGCCTTCCTCATCCTTTCCTGGGGTTAAAGTCATGGATATTTGAAAATAAAAGAAACGATTGTCCTGATGTGGAAACGAAAAGATCTCCATTATCTTCTGTCAGCAGATGGTTTTAAAACCTGCGGTGGGAGGGAAGCAGAGCCACCAGCTTCCAGAACAGGAATAGAATCAGATTTACTAAACTCTATTCTGGTTCAATCATTTTTCCGTTTATTTTTCATTTTAGTAACAAAAAGCGACCAGTCTGGTAAACTGGGAGGTTGTTGGTTTTCCATGAAGACCAGTCTCCAGAGTTTCAAGATCGGCTGGATGAACAAACGATGAAGAACTTTCTCCTGCTGGATTCTTCTAAAGCATCAAGCCTGGTTCAGTTCTGCTCGGTTCCTCCCTCATCTGATGATGATGATGATGATGATGATGATGATGATGATGATGGGAAGTAATTGAGTCACTCTGGTTCTTTTCCTCCACCAGACCGTTGGACCTCAGCAGAGCCGCATTCTGCTGCTCATTTTCCAGCTGACCCGGTTTGCTGCAGTTCTCTAACAATCCGCTTCTGTTCCTCCAGGTTCTGGTTCTACGGTTCTACGGTTCCGCCTCCGTTCCAACAGTCAGCCTCAGAGCTTCACACCAGTTGGTTGTGGGGACCAGGTTCTTCAGGAGGTCTGTCTGCTTTTCCACAAGCTTAGAGCTGAGTTGTTACGTCCTATCCTGTCACCAGGTTCTTGGCCTTTAACCCCAGGATGCCGGGGTTCGGTGGAAGACGGGTTCGGAGCCGAGGACCAACCAGGTGGCCTGAAGTCAGGAGATGAAAAAGAAGGAAGGTTTCCTGAAGCCAAGGAGAAACGTTGGGTTTCCAGGAGGTTTCTGAAGATGTCCTTGATGCTCCTGCTGAGTCTGGACGTCTAGAAGCTCCTTTAGATAAGCAGGACCGGCCCAGTAGAACTTCATAATGTATCAAGACCGGTTCTGTCGCCAAGAGGAACCACAGTGAGACCAAAACCTGTAAAACCAGTCCTGTTTTCTCAGAGCCGTGGATTGGTGAACATCTGATCTGGTTCAACCGAGTCCACAAAGTCTGTGCAGAGTAGAAGTTCTTCAGAACCTTCATCCAGGAAGCCAGAGAGGTTCAGCTCAGCAGGTTCTGAGTCAGTCGGCATCCAGAGGTTCTGTGAACCAAACCGAGTCCTGGAGCCAGAGGCAAGGTTCTATGGACTTTGGTTCTGCATTCAGAAGACCGGGAACTGATCAGCAGGAAGTCCAGGAGACGAGACTGTGGACCTACTGGATCCAACACTGGCAGGACCACTGGACGGACGGACAGATGGAAGGACAGATGGACATGGATGTCTCAGAATAACTGCTGATAGATCATAGAATCAGCTGCCAGTGGTCCCAACCAGTCCAGTACGAGGACCAGAACCTGGACCTGGACAGACTAGACCTGGACCTGGACCTGGACAGACTAGGCCTGGACCTGGACAGACTAGACCTGGACCTGGACCTGGTGGAGGAACCTTTTTCATTCATCTGTAAACTTTTTCTTCAGAGATGTGCTGTAAGTTTTAATCCTTAGCAGATCCCTGTGATGATGATGAAGATGATGAAGATGATGATGATGATGATGATGATGATGATGATGATGATGATGATGATGATGATGATGATGATGATGATGGTTAGTGTTTCTGAGCTGCATTGATTCAGCAGTTAGATCAGCAGAGCTGCTTTCATAGATCGGAATGATTAAAGTTCAGCAGCAGCGAATTAATAAAGAAAATAGAAATGAATAAAGAAAACTTTATTAGAATGAATAAAGAAAACTTTACTAAATATCCTAAAAGTTTTCCTTTAAAAGCAGCAGAGTAAGCGCTTTGGTACTGATCTAGTTAATAATCTCTGGAATCCTCCCTGATCTTCGCCTCTCATTCATTCCATTCTGACTCTTCCTGTGAACCACAGTGATATGAGCGCTTCGGTTCGGTTCGGTTCGGCTCGGTCCACTCACCAGAAACCTGGTGGAGCTGGTTCCCTGGTCTATGGCAGCAACCAGCGGCTCCATTCCTGCAGATCTTCTGCTCCCAGCGGCGCTCCTGGACTGAGAGGAAGACCCGTCCATACCCAGCTGGAGATCAAAGAGCCGCCCCCTGCTGACGTCAGCCAATCAGACCACAGGACGGAGATCAGAGAGCCGCCCCTGCTGACGTTTAGTTCAGTTTATTTCTACAGCGCCAATTAACAACTCAGGTCATCTCAGGTCACTTTCCAGTTCACTAGATCATCCAGTCAGATTGATCAAAGTTTTCTATCTAAGGAAAACCAGCTGATTGCATCGACTCTCCAGCAACCAATCAGATCACAGGACGGAGACACGCCCCCTCCCACCATGGTTCATTCATTAATTGGAAATAATTGACTGAAAACAGTCAGAATGAACTTTAGAGTTTTTGTTTCTATATTTTCAGCCGATAAACTCTCAGATTCTAGAACAGCTTCTAACATCAGACCTGAATGTTGAATAAAACGGAAAAAAACTGAAATATCTTTACTTTTGATCTCTGCTCAACTTTAAGAAATTTAACAAACTTTAGTTTTATACTCTGTGTACAAAATGACTAGAAAACGTTAGTCTAAAGTTTAGACTTACGCTAAAATTCAGCTGTAAATATTTAGTTATTGTTTTCTTTTTTTGGGGGATAAACTAAAAGAAAAAAACTTCTAACTGCATAAACCAGCTTCTCTCTTTAGTTTTTTAAATATGCAGCTATAAACAGAACAAGCTTCTGCTGACTGATTATTTCAGACTGAGTGCATAAATAATTATTTTTCTCTTTATCTGTTTAAATGTATGAATAAAAAATGTCAAATAAAATCAATTGATCATTTAAATCTGTCTGCATGTTTTTCCTCCAAACCTTTACAGGGGGGTGAATACTTTTAGCCAGCAGCTGGAATCAAACAGCTGTTGTCAGATTTGAATGCTGCTGCTGTAAATCAGCCTCATCAGGTGTTTCTGTCTGCTATCAGGGACAGACTGAGGCTCCTGCTGCTTCTTCACGTCTGACCTTCTGCAATCAGATGTTTGGATCAGTGCTGGAATCCTCTCAGCCTCTCCTAAGACAAGGTCTCCCTGAGTCTGGCTGCAGCTGCATCTAAACATAGATCCTGCAGCTACAGGGTCACTGACGGCCACCAGCTGCAGTAGCTGGAGGGGGGCTGCCCCCCCTCCAAGTGTAAACAGCATCCAACAATGAAAACATTGTTTGTTTTAGTAATAAATACATTTATTTTATTTTCTGAGAGGAACTATTTATTTTCAGCCTGGTTTCTGACTGTGCAGCAGGTCGACAGCACATCAAGTTAAACACCCTCTCCTGCAGCTTTAACACGTCCTCCAATCAGAGGCTTCCATCATTTACCTCCTGCGTGGCCCATACCATGATGACACCAATGCTGGGTCAGTTATTCACTCTGTTTAGCTTTAAAACATCTAACTTTGATCCACAGCTTCTAATCACCCCAGAGATCGGATTTCAGAGTCATACCGCCCCCTGCTGTCCGGCAGCAGGTCCTACATCCTCTGCCTGAAAAGAGTCCTAGAAGCTGAAGGTCTGAGAGGAAACCGTCCTCCCTGACCATCCCACCATCGGCGTGTTCCATTCCTGAGGATCTGGTCTACCTGGACCGGATCCTTGGTGGTTGGAGTTTGTAACTGATTCTACAGGTTAGCAGGTCAAAGGTCAGAGGTCAGGACCTCCTCTGTAGTCACACTCACAGAGCTGTCTGTGTTCCTCTGTACTGGTCTGGGTTCTAAGGTTCTCTGATCCTCTGATGTTCCTCTCTCTCATCTCCTGCATCATCAGGAGGACTTTCCAATAGGAGGACCCCGGGGCCTCGCTAAGCAGGAACCATCAGCAGCTCTCACTGAGGAAACATCTCTCCTCAGTAAACTGAACAGATGTTAGGAGGACTTCAGTGAGAAGATTGAGGAACCAGAGAGCTGATTGGCTGATCCGTGAATCATTAATATGCAGAGAAGATCAACTTCAGCGGCTGGACGGATTGAAGGTCCACCTCCTCTGATGTCATTATATTGAGTAGAATGTTCCAACCAAAGTTAGAAGGAATTCTGATATAATTTAGACTTTGAAACCTTCTAATAAACATCTAGAAACAGATTTGAGTTCAATAACATCCAGTCTGCAGACACCTGGGGAACGTTCAAGATCATGGCGTCGTTTATGATGATGTCAGCATCCATAACCTGGAAGATCATCTGCTGCTGATGAGATAGAAAAACACGTCTGCTCCTAAACGTTCTTCAAGGTCGGCCATTTTGTTATCCTGGCATCTAAGCCACCTTCAGCTCCTCTGTTCTCCTCCACCAGCTGCTCCAACAGCAGATTCTGCACCTCCATCCACAACCAGAACCGGGTCCGAACCAGAACTGGATCAGAACCAGAACTGGATCAGAACCAGAACTGGATCAGAACCATAACCGGTTGCCTCCATCTCCTGGTGGCCTCCAGCTCTTGGTGGCCTTGTTCTCCTAGTGGCCTCGTTCTCCTGGTGGCCTCCGGCTCCTGGTGGCCTCCGGCTCCTGGTGGCCTCCGGCTCCTGGTGGCCTCCGGCTCCTGGTGGCCTCCGGCTCCTGGTGGCCTCCGGCTCCTGGTGGCCTCCGGCTCCTGTCCTTTAAGGAACGAATCGTTCTAACCCAGATTGTTCTGCTGGAGAAACAGAAACCTCACAGCTTCTAGTGAGCTTCATCAAGGCCATGAAAAGCAAACCTTCTCAGTGTGATCGTTGCTCCAGCAGTCGGGCTTCCTGAGCTGCGTCTGAATGAAGGACGGCTCAGACCAAAGCAGAGGAAACCAAACACAGAAGATCAGCAGATGATGGAAAGTTCTTTAATGTTTATCACACAGCAAAGCATCAGAAAAAAATCCACCACGATTCAGCTGAGAGGTTCAAAACAACATTTATTACTTCTACTAGTACTAAAGTACTATAGTACTAATAGTACTTTATAAAGTACTTTATAACAACCAGAAAAAGTTTAAAATATAAAGTAAAGAACAGATGTTAAAGACAATAAGATCAATAAAGTAAAAACAAAGAAATTTAATAAAACAGTTTTTAAGCATTTTGCTCCTCTGATAAATTAACAGATTATTGAAGAAACAGCTTTATTGAATTAATCTAAACAGGTTTTAATCTGGATTGAAATCCAGTTTTCTGAGGTTCCTATTGGGAAGCAGATCTTTGGGGGTTCAGGTGAACCACCCACCCTGAAGACGCCAGCAGATGATAGAAGACGAAGAAAATCAAACTGATGACGGAGCTTAGATCCCGCTGACGTCGGTCCGTGGTGTTCGCCGTGGGTCACTGGGTTTCTGGTTCTGGGGTTTCTGGTCCAGGTTCTGTCTGGCTTCAGGGGCCTCCTGGGCCCAGTTCTGTTTCTCTTTGTCCAAAGCTTTCTCCATCTCAGTGTAATAGTCCAGGGCTTTCCTCACAGGGTCGATGATGTGATGCTGCGGGACAGATGAAGACCGCTCAGTGTTTTGATCTCCTGACTGCTGCACTAAGGCTGTATTATTGAATTACCTCCAGGCAGGGGAACAGGTTGGCGAGCTCCACGAAAAGCGGCAGAAGGACGAATCGGATGAAGCCGATTTGAGACGAAGGTTTGGTGACTTTGTCTCTGTCCATGAAGGGGCTGACCGGAAGACCTTCCAACTTCTCTACGTCACTCTGAGGACAAAAAGTCTTAGGTTAGACTGCAGCTCAGGACATGATTCAGTTAAATCCATCTGATTCCAGCTGATCCCAGCTGATCCCAGCTGATTCCAGTGGATTCCAACTGATTCCAGCTGATCCCAGCTGATTCCAGTGGATTCCAACTGATTCCAGCTGATTCCAGTGGATTCCAACTGTTTCCAGCTGATTCCAGTGGATTCCAACTGATTCCAGCTGATTCCAGTGGATTCCAACTGTTTCCAGCTGATCCTAGTGGATTCCAACTGTTTCCAGCTGATCCCAGCTGATCCTAGTGGATTCCAGCTGTTTCCAGTGGATTTCAGCTGATCCCAGCTTATTCCAGTGGATTCCAACTAATTCCAGCTGATTCCAGTGGATTCCAACTGATTCCAGCTGATCCCAGCTGATTCTAGTGGATTCCAACTGATTCTAGCTGATTCCAGTGGATTTCAGCTGATCCCAGCTGATTCCAGTGGATTCCAACTGATTCCAGCTGATTCCAGTGGATTCCAGTGGATTCCAACTGATTCCAGCTGATCCTAGTGGATTCCAGCTGATTCCAGTGGATTCCAACTAATTCCAGCTGATTCCAGTGGATTCCAACTGATTCCAGCTGATCCTAGTGGATTCCAGCTGATTCCAGTGGATTCCAACTAATTCCAGCTGATTCCAGTGGATTCCAACTAATTCCAGCTGATTCCAGTGGATTCCAGTGGATTCCAACTGATTCCAGCTGATCCTAGTGGATTCCAGCTGATTCCAGTGGATTCCAACTAATTCCAGCTGATTCCAGTGGATTCCAACTGATTCCAGCTGATCCTAGTGGATTCCAGCTGTTTCCAGTGGATTTCAGCTGATCCCAGCTGATTCCAGTGGATTCCAACTAATTCCAGCTGATTCCAGTGGATTCCAGCTGATCCCAGCTGATTCCAACTGATTCCAGCTGATTCCAGTTGATCCCAGCTGTTTCCAGTGTATTCCAGCTGATTCCAGCTGATCCTAGTGGATTAAGGCTGATTATCACACTATGCTAGTTAGGTTAATTAGGTTTATTTTTAACAGTAAAACTTCTTTTAGGATGTTTTTAATCTGATTTCAGTGCATTTAAACTCCACTAAGATAACTTTCTTAAACTTGTATAGTTTTTATTTTAGTTTATCATGCTGTAGCCTGTAGCTAACTTAGCCTAGCTAATCCTAATTGACTCCATCTTGAAAATGAAACCTTATCTTTGTTCATTTTAGTTTGGCTTATTTTCTTTTTATTTAATGGCTAGCCTATCTGTTCTCAGGATGTTTGAGCTACGCTAAGCTAATTGACCAACTGTGTTTGTTCTTTTCTCAGAAACACCTGTAGATAGAAACTAACAGTGATGCTGATGATAACATTTATAACCCATTAG